CATGTGCCCAGGACCCAGGGTGCCAATGGACAAGATAACAACAGGGCCCTTGTTCAGGGAGGTGGGGAGGCCTCAGAGATAAAGCCAAGTGCATCATCTAATTATTCCAGCTTTTTATAAAACCTGGAGTTTTGGAGGAACCCATTAGCCAACAGGCATTACAACAGCTCTGCTCCAAAGGGACTGATCCCTCAGCAGTGCACAAGGAAGAAGTGTCCCTGTCCATGGCAGGGAGGGTGGAATTAGGGCATTTTTAAGGTCCTTTCCAACCCAAGCCATTTTAGGGTTCTGTGGTGACGTTGTCCTCTTTAGGAAGTGTGGTACAAGAGAAAACACGCTTTTAAACAATCGCCTCTGCTGCAGATGTGTCCCCCCTAAAAAGAGTCAATACACATCTAAGCAGTCAAATGCTTTAAAGAGCACTTTCCTGTATCAGGGTATGACCAAAAAACCCAAACGTGTTTCATCCACAGTATTAACAGCAGACAGCTTTCCTGATTTCCTCATTAAAGGAGGCTGCCCACAAAAATAAAGTTTTTTCATATTAGTAGCTTTAAAACAGGACAGAACAAGCCAGTGCTGCATGGTTAGATGGTGGCAGAAGAACAGTCTGCTAAAAACATCATCCCTCTCCAAATTTTCCTGGGCATCTTCACACTGAGTGTCTAAGACCCAGATTAACCACCTCCTTCATTTCTTCCCTGCTTATGTAAGCACCAAGTTTTCATAGTCAGTCTCACTCCTCCCCACTTGAGCCACAAAAATCTGCTTTTCCCTTCTTTTGTTGGTTTTTTTTTTTTTTACTAGAAAGCACTGGTAGCATATTTTATTCCAAAGAAATATGAGTCCAAAGGGGGAAAAGTATGTGCAAGTGAGGTAAGGAAGGAATTTACAAAACAGCCAAGGCAAGGGGCTGTGCCTTTAGAGCAAGAGCTGCAGATGAAGCCAGGAGACCAGCACAGTGCACTTGCCTTGAACTAGAAGTACAGGCTCATCTACTGTGTGAACTGGCAGGGAAGAATCTTATCCCCCCGATTAAGGAGTGGGAGGAGATCAGTCTCTTTTCACTCCAGGCACTAATATCAGCTTACACTGTGGTCTCCAAGTGTCAGCCCTTGAAGAGACATTTAAAGCCTTGCCAGCAGAACACACAGAAGGCACTCCTACAGAAAGCATTCTCTACACATGGCCCTACTGCTGCAGCTTTTATGTGTCTCAAAATTGTTACTGTTAAATATTGCTTGGGGGAAAAAAGGCTTTAATACATTTCAGGTCAAGTTTCTGAGAAAAAAAAAATGCACAGGAAAAATAATAAATTATTCTTCCCACTTTACTTCGTAGCTCCATGAGAATTAACAAATTGTTACTCAGAAAAACTGGGCTGCCCACTCCTGGCTTGCTCTTCTTCATGAATTAACAATAATTAACCGAGTGCACACAGGAATTTGTTTCAGGATCGAGCACATCTCAACAGTACAAGCCAAAAGGACTGGCCTCAGACTCTGCAGGTGGAAATCAAATGTCTCAAAAGCACGGCAGCATGCTATGGTAAACCAGGACCCATCACTGCTCTGACTCCCACCAATGGTGGGACAACAGGGAAGGGAGAAAATACCATGTATTTTAATTGTCCTTCCAGTTCAGAACAGGCCCTGGCAATGAGAGCTGTCCTGCACTCAGTGATGTGTGGAAGCAAACCAGAGAATTTAACCAGACCTCCAGATTAATTATTTACATCTTCGATGGGCAACAACAAAGCAGCCCTGAATGAGAAGTCAGAATGATTCAAGCTGTTACACTTGTTAGACCTGTGCCTTTTCCTAAAGCCTCATCATATAAAGCCTCAAATAATATTTATTATTTTCTAAGAAATACATAAATTGATTCACATCTCCATGATGCAAGAGTGATCAATATCCTTATCTTCAGAGGAACTCCCTGTGCTCTGGGCTGATCCCACAGTGTGGGCAGCAGGAAAGGGAGGAATTCTGCCCCTGTGCCCTGCTGAGGTGAGACCCCACCTGCAGAGGGATGGGGCAGCTCTGCTGTGAGGAAAGGCTGGGAGAATTGGGAATGCTCCAACAGGAGCCTCCTGCAACAGGAAGGATGGTGCAAGACTATTTACAAGGGACTGGAGTGACAGGACAAGGGGGAATGGCTTCCCACTGCCAGAGTTGACACTGGATATTGGGATGGAATTCTTCCCTGTGAGGGTGCTGAGGCCCTGGCACAGGTTGCCCAGAGAAACTGTGGCTGTCCCATCTCTGGAAGTGCTCAAGGACTGGTTGGAAGGAGCAGCCTGGGCTAGTGGAAGGTGTCCTGCCCATGGCAGGGGGTGGAACAAGTCAAGTTTTAAGGCCCTTTCAACTCATTCTGAGATTCTTTGATCAGGTCACGATTCTTGTGCTCACTTTTTTCTTCAGCTTCAGAAAATTCTTTTCATGTACTCAGCTTATACTTCCCTATTAAATTTGTGCTCATCTTCTCCTCCTTAGCTTCCCCTCCCTGGAGGGGAAAAAAAACCAACAAAAAACCCCAAAGCACTGGCACAGTTACCGTTCTTTGTGCTGCCTGCCTGGAGGTGGTGCCAGGGGATGAGACGATCCCTCCCCAGGAGCACACCTGCAATCCTGCCCCACCGCAGTGCAGCCTTCCCCAGCTACTTTCCCACATCTCACCCTGCCACTGGCTGCTCTCTGCCAAAAGCCCATCTATTCCTGCTGTGCAGTTTCTCAATCATATGCATAGACTTTTCATGCAAAACTTTAAAATGAGGGAAATGAAGTGCAAGATTGAGAAATGTCATAAATATGAGGTGGTGGGCAGGAGAGGAGCCAGTTTCCAAATCCAAATCATTAAAACACTCTCTTTCCCTGCCATAGTTATAGCCTGTAATGGTAGCACCTGGAAACTTTTAACTCAGACCAGCAGTGTAAATATATTTTCAAGTAATCCATGCTCCACAAGAAGCCTGCCAGGGCATGCACAAGGCTTAAAGCATGAAAAACTACACGCGCACGCAATAAATTCATTTATTGCTTTTTAACTCCCAGGAGGGAGTTAGGGCTCTAAAAAGCCTTCTGAAGTAGTAAAGCAAGTGCTTTAACTTCTGGTTATTTAACATGGCAGCAGTGGAAAAGGGCTCTTTATGTTTCTGAAAAGTTTGCAAAGGGAAATGAGGATGGCAGAGAACCAGGTGCACAGATCCCAGTGTCACAGCAGGTTCCCCTCCAAGGAAGGGATAGGTGCCAGATATCTCGTGTTGATCACTGCTTGGGATTTTCTGTTTTTATGTTTTATTATACCTCCAAGACACTTGTGGCAATGAAAATCTTCCTGCAGCTATCCTTAATATCTCTACCTGGCATCTGGGGGCTAAGATTAGACTATTTCAAAAAGTTACAGAATACCTAAGAATGCAAAATATTAAATAAATATGTCACTTATGCCAGTGAGTTACAAAGAAGACTGTGATAGGTATCTGGCTGAGCTTTCAATGACTGTGGTATTTCAGAGAGACATCCTACCCTACTCCATTTCTATCTATGCAAAGTTTTCACAGGTTTTCAGATGACAAGCTCTTAATTGCAGGAGCTATAGTTTTTTTCACACCTAAATTTCAGTTTACTAAGACATCCTTTGCAGCATCAGCTTTTAATCTGCAAAGGGGTCATCAGCTCCATTAAGTCACCTGTAAATTAGACGGTGTCAGCTGCCAGGACACCCCTATTTACCCTGCTGCCCAAACAAAACACATGGTGCCTGTTTAGCACAGTCCTCCCACGGCTGCTCCCAGGTCCCCCCGCCCCAGCTGCCAGCACAGTGACTGCACTTCCCAGTGTGGGCCAGGTTGCAAGAAACACCCTTCAGAAAGCAGGAAAAGGCTCCCACTTTCCTCAAGCTCTGTGTTTGCAGTAAAGGAGCTGAGACACATCCAGACCTGCCTCACAAAGAGCTGGGCAACCTGCCCAAGAGCTTCTTCTCTGTGGGCTGGCTGCTGCAGCCCATCCTGGCACTGCTCTGCTGTCACATCCTGGTCCACATCCTGCTGTCACCTCCTAATTCTATGCTACAACGCTCAACCAGGTCCTGCTCTGCACCATAAAGCAAATGTAGAACCACTGAATTACAGAATGGCCTGGGTTGGAAGGGACCTTAAGATCATCCAGTTCCACCTCCTGCCCTGGGCAGGGACACCTTCCACTATCCCAGGGTGCTCCAAGCCCTGTCCAACCCAGCCTTGGACACTTTTGGGGATGGGGCAGCCACAGCCTCTCTGGGCAACCTGTGCCAGGGCCTGCCCACCCTCACAGGGAGATGTTTTTCCTAATATCCAATCCAACTCTGCCCTTTGTCAGTGTGAAGCCATTTCCCTTTTTTCCTGCCCCACATTTATTCTTACTATGTGTTCCCACACCCTGCCCCCGACTCCCTATTTCTTCCTTCTCCTTCAAAGATCTACTGAAAAAAACTAAATCTTGATTACTGTTGTTCCTCTTGCAGCTACTCTGCCGTTTCACTGAATGCACATCACCAAGCACCAAGTTTTGAGCGTTTCTGGTTCAGTTCACAAGTGCAGCCTCTACCCTTGGCTCCTGCCAACAGCAGCCCATCCTTTTCACAAACCTGGGGAGGGCATGGCAGCAGCTGCACAGCAGGAAGCAGAACAACTTCACAGGGGAGTTATACAAGGGCCAGGAATCTTCCATATTCATTGGATTTCTAACGAAGTGATAAGAATCCACCACCTCCATAGGCACACAAAGAAGCTGCATACTTCAAAGTTTAACATTAAACAAGAATTACTAACCACCAGGATTTGCTGTGAATAATTACACCAGCTTCGCAGAGATAAAAATCCTTGCCACAATCCGTGTTTTTTCCAAGTTTTTCTGTGATCAACATTAGTGCCACGCAGACTATTTCAACAAAATACAGATGTTCCAGCATCTCTGAACATCTTCCTCCCCGGATACAACCCCCCAAAGCCTCGGCCTTACCTCCTTCTGCTGCCTCTCCAGCTCTTTCATCCGGATCTCCCGCGCCTCCGCCCGCGCCGCTCGCTTGGCCGCGAGTCTCGCTTCAGCCTGGGAACAGGAACACAGGGATGGGGTGAGATGAAAGCTGGGCAACCCAAGGGGAACACGCTCCTGAAGCAGGGCAGGGAATGGGGAGGCTTGGCTGTAAACACATCTGTAGGAGTTAATTCCCTATTGCAGGTAATGGCCCTGCCTTCCCCAACTGGTTATCTTAACAGTCAGGTAAAACACCCCCGTGCAGGCACTACCCTCCCTGAGCACCTGTGTTTAAAAGAGCTCTTTAATTATTATTTGTGTGGCTGGAGAGGAAGCAGGGAGATTTATTTAAGAAAGGCAGGTTTTGCTCCTTTTGTTTTGGGTTAGGTTGTTTTTTTTCCCTCCCCTGCAGCATGGACTGTTTTTTATTGATGAATTAATTTGACCAACACCAAACACATTATGTGCCATTTTTCCTAACCACTGACACTGTGCACACATACCTGGGTACAGGACTTGGGTAAACGCTGGAGTTCAACATGCACAGCTAAGGCTGAAATTATGGAGAGAAAATGCACTAGCTCTGTAATTAATCTCCAAAATTCCATATTTCAGTCCAAGCCTCGCTGGAGCAGAATTCTGCCAAGAACAGACCTCTCGAGAGATCTACGGTGCTTCCTCACTTCAGCCCAGTTGGAACTGATGGAACATGCTAGAGAGCAACATTTTTAATATTCTGCTTAAAATCCCAGGCAAAGCCAACAGGTCTTACAGAGGAAAAAGTAAAATTAGCTCGGGCTTGGTACATGAGTAGCTCAGCAGGGAGGCAAAGGCCAGCCACCCTGGTGTTACACCCAACTCCCTGTGCTTCTGAAACCTTTTCCTCTAAGTACAGCATCCATTGACAGGGAAATCTGCCACAAGATCAAGGTCAAGCACACAGAGAAATCAAAACACCGGTGTTTTCAGTGGCGCTTCTAAACAGAAGGAAAACCGCCAAGAAAAAAGAAAGGTGTGATTTCTTTTCCCTTCTGTAAGTGCATTCATCACTGAAGCCCAGGCAAAAGGGTCACAGCCTTCAAAAACACAAACAAAACATGGGAAAAAAAAAGAAAAATAAGGAGTAGGATGGTTGAAACTTGCAGTTAACAGCCAAGGACTGATGAAAATCAAGCATGAGCTGATGAATGGGAGGAGCAGGAGCCCTGTGATGATGTAGATCTTAAAACCTCAGACTGGAGAAGGCCAAGAGGGGCTCTCATCAATCCATACAAATATCCCAAAGGCAGGTACCAGACTCTTCTCAGTGGTGCCCAATGGCAGGATGAGGAGCAGTGGTCATAAACTAAACCACAAGAAGTTCCAGCTCAGCATGAGAGACAATTCCTGTTCACTGAGGGTGGCAGAGCACTGGAACAGCTGCCCAGGGAGGATGTGGAGTCTCCCTGTCTGGAGGCATCCCAAACCCAAGTGGACATGCTTCAGTGTCACCTGCTCTAGGTGACCCAGGGGATTGCACTGGGACTCCAGAGCTCCCATCCAACCCCAAATGTTCTGTGATTCTGTGAAGTCTGAGAAATTACTTGTGACAAAAAACCAAGCCTTCTCAGAGAAGTAAAAAAAAAGCCCATGGCAGAAAGAGCAAAGGGCTGGTTTTGCACAGAGCTGCTCTCCCTTGAGTTCTCTGCCTGAATTTCGAGGAAGGTGGCTGTGCCATGGACACAAACTCGTAGTAGGAACAGACTCTCCACACCTGCACCCAAAACCATCCCCTCTCATTACCTGTTTTTCACAGAGCCAGGTGACAGCAGGCTCTGGGTGCAGGCACAAATCCCCAAAAGTGTCTTCAACAACACTTCCCAACCTGAAGCAGTCTGTCCAAGGAAAAGAAAGCAGCCCTGCTTCGCTGCTGGGCAAAGCCTGGGTGGAAATCCTGGCAGGCAGTGCTGTGATCCACCTGCAGTGTTTGAAATTGCTCATGACATCCACTTATCCAAACACGCCCTGAAATGTGTGCTAAAGGCACGAAATCACAGCTCTGGAAACAAGACTGATACGGATGTGATCCCTTCTGTTTATTTAACAATAAATACTGGTAAATCCCACCTGATAGAGGTGAGGAATAAGACCAGAACAAACTGATTTTTTCCCTATGGAAGATAAAGGGCACTAAAGTCTCCATAAACAAAACATACCAAACAGCACAGTCCCAACTTCCCTCCTGACAAAAAAATGCAGAAACAAAATTATTTGGATGTTAACATGATCGTAGCTGTCATCCAATAACCAGCTGAGCTGTTACATCAGAACTAGGTGCCTATATGTAAAACTCAGGTGTAATTCAAATTATACAGATTTCCCCTTGTTTTCCCTGTATGATAATGGCCAAAGGATTCATACACTTGCTAGTTATGTTGCAGAATTATATATTCTCACAGAAGCAAGCACAATATGATATGAAATGAAGCAACTTGAAAAGTAGTAAAAAGAATTAAAATTTAGCCAGTTTTTCACAGGCCTTCCTGAGAATGAGGCTCACCAGTTTCTAAATTACAGATACCAACTGCAGGAAGTTAAATCAATTTTACTTTGTGCAAAACCACACATTTTGTGTGTCATTTCTCAGGATATAATTCTGGTTTTAGTGCTGATCCATCTACTTTATTCTATTTCATCTTTGCAGCCCTCCAGCTGCCCATTTAAAGCCAACCTGCAAACCTTGTAAGAATAAAAACGCATTTTCACTCAGCAGCTTTGACTAACAATGCCTTACATCTTGGAACAAGTATATTGTTCATTTATGAACTTTTTCTTTCCATGACCACATCAGCCTTAAGTATCTCTAAATACAAACAACAGAAACAGTATCCTGGGTTCTTGAACTTTAAGCTAAAAACCCGTGGTCAGCATATACTAGAAGTCATCAAGTGTTATTCCATCCTCAACACTCAGATTTTAAAGCAATCCACTTCCATCACACCAAAACAAATAATTACGGAATTGTTTGGGCTGGAAGGGACCCCGTGTGGTCTCCAGTCCTGCTCAAAGCAGGGTCAGCATCACATTGAGATCACAGTGCTTAGGGCTTGGTCCAGATGGTTCTTGGAAACCTCGGGGTTTGGTGGCTCCACAGCCTCTCCAGGCTCCTGTTTCACTGCCTGAGCAGCCTCACGGAATAAAGGAATAAATCCCCACCAAATCATGTTACAACCTGCTCTTGGCTCCTTAGTGACCCCAACTTCTCTGTCAGAAGGCTGCTGTACCTCGAGCACTAGGGAATATTTTCAAGCATGTTCTCAAGGATGTCTGGGTGCCATTTAGATCATTACACAGTTATTTTCACTGTCGTTCCTGACCAAAGACCAGCTCATTTGTGCTGGACAAAGGAGGGTTTGTAAGAAACAGGCCATCCTTCCCTAAAGGGTTTTGGAGCCCACAACAAAATGAGAGAAGGGGGCACAGGAAATACTCAAGGAGGAAAAAAGGCTTCAGTATGTGAGACTACCCACAAGTCCTTGGAGGGTGCTCTCCAGCCCACCAGAAATATATCATGCTATAGTCAGGCCAGCCATCAAATGATCAATCTGTGGCCTTCATAATCCCATTTCTAGCATGCTTTGGTGGATGGAATTACTTAACTCAGAATGATTTTTTTAATATATACTCTGTAGGTGGCATTGGTGACAAACCTGGCGTCACCCGTGAGCTTAGAGGAAGTAAATCCATCAGGGCAGGGGTGAGTCCACACCTCACTGGGCAGGATGTTACCAAAGTCAAACCAGAGTCTGGTAGCAACCAAATCCTACAGTGAGTGTGGGAGCCAAACAGGACCTGCTGCACACAGGTTTTCCTGTGCCAAAGCCCAGCTCAGGTACAGCGGGTGACCCCCAGCACAGCACAGGGCAAAGACACCCACAACAGCCCCACAGCCACCCTCACCTGCCCAAACTGTGAACCTTTAGGAGATGTAAGAATAAAAACATAGGTCAGGCTTTCAGACAAACACAGAGGAGCATCAGATTTATCGTGGGCCTCTTCCTCAGAAGCACGGGCGTGACTGAACTCATGAGAGTTTGTCAAACCACGCTCTCTGAGACTCCTGGACTCTGCTCCATGCTATAAATACCTTGATTTCTTGCACAGCCTGAAAGCAGCAATGCTAACTTTACATTTCTCTCTGTGTGCTGACTAAACCAAAACAGGATTTACCTGGCTGACTTTGGTCTTCGTCCAGCCCACTGTCGAGTCACCTCTAAGGGCAGTAGCAGAGACAGACACTGCTGAACATTAGAAAACCACCCAAAAGATTCACAGACTTGTGAAATTCAGCTTACTAAAAGCTGTTCTTTAGGCTGCCTATGGCATAAATAGCTATTCAAGGGATTAAAGATTTTAAAAAATTAGAAATCACCAGGACTGAAGGAAGTGATCTTAAAATCATCTAAAATTCACCAGTGACTCAGCAAGCAATACAGGCCTCAATCAAAAGTGACAGATCACTGTCAAAAACAGAAGAATAAAAATATGAAGCCTAATTGCACTCATTACAAAGCTTTTGCAACTTCCTTTTTATGAAATATTGCTCATCTGACAAGAAGAACTGGCAGCTTCAGCCCTACTGAGCATGTCATACCAAAAAAACCCAAACCTCATAAGAGGCTTCTGTAAAGCCCCATGGGCAGAACGAGAGGAGATGGCAACCAGACTGCTGAGATGAACACAGAACTGGGCACCAGCTGAAAAATCATCACCTTAATTTATGGGATTCACTCAAATACTACAAATATACACACTGAATTCTTGTCTTTTTAGTGCAGTTGCTCAGAATGATTTAGTCACCAGGCCCTGAAATAAATGCACTGTTAAACTGCAAAATGCTCGTGTCTTTTGCAGGCTACTTGCTCAGTACTTGACACTCCTGCTTAAGGGTCACTTAGCCTGAAAATAAAAACCCAGCCCTGTGCAGCAGAAGGGGGGCTTAAGGGGTTCAGTATATTTAGCTCTGAAAAGGGAAAAACTAAGCAGGTTGTAACTGGAGCACAACTACCTCTGAAAAAAAAATCCAAACCAGG